CCTGGGCGGCCTGCTGCTCAACTGCTGTGCGTGCGCCGCGCTCATGCGGCCCCTGGAGGCGCCCCGGGGGGCAGGGGCGGGGGCCCCCCAGAGGCCGGCCCGGCGGCTGCTGGACCTGAGCGTCTTCAGGGACCGCGGCTTCGTCATCTACGCGGCGGCCGCCTCCATCATGGTGCTGGGGCTGTTCGTGCCGCCCGTGTTCGTGGTGAGCTACGCCAAGGACCTGGGCGTGCCCGACACGCGGGCCGCCTTCCTGCTGACCGTGCTGGGCTTCGTGGACATCTTCGCCCGGCCGGCCGCCGGCTTCCTCGCGGGGCTCCCCAAGGTGCGCCCCTACTCCGTCTACCTCTTCAGCTTCGCCATGTTCTTCAACGGCTTCACCGACCTCGCGGGCTCCACGGCCGGCGACTACGGGGGCCTGGCGGTCTTCTGCGTCTTCTTCGGCATCTCCTACGGCATGGTGGGCGCCCTGCAGTTCGAGGTGCTCATGGCCATCGTGGGCACCCACACCTTCTCCAGCGCCATCGGCCTCGTGCTGCTGCTGGAGGCCATCGCCGTGCTCATCGGGCCCCCGTCCGGAGGTGAGCCGGGCAGCGGGGAGCCCCGGCCAGACCCCGGTTCCGGCGCCGGCCCATCCCGGGAAAGGGACTCATGGTGGGAGGGTCCTGAGCAGGCGGAAGCCCTCCCCCTGCCTGGCCTCGCCAGGCCGGCCCCCTGCTCCCAGCGCACAGCCCCAGGCAGGTGAGGGGAGGCACGGGACGGCGGGGTGGGGGCCCAGCCACGCTGACCCTGTCCCCTCCACAGGCCGCCTCCTGGACGCCACGCACGTCTACCAGTACGTGTTCATCCTGGCCGGGGCCGAGGTGCTGGCCGCCTCCCTGGTGCTGCTGCTCGGCAACTTCTTCTGCATCGGGAGGAAGCCCGCGGGGGCGGCCACGGAGGGCCAGGGCCCCCAGCCCCCTGCGGACAACAGGGACGGGGTGGACTCCAGGGAGGTGGAGCACTTCCTGAAGGCGGAGCCTGAGAAGCAAGGGGAGGTGGCTCACACCCCGGAGACCAGCGTCTGAGCTCGGAGCGGCGGGCGCAGGGAACTGGACGGAGGCTGTCAAGGTTCATATTTATTTCACAAACGGGACTATCTCAGGCGGGCCCCCCCGGCAGGGGATTGTCACCTGATCAGTTTCTCGGGGGAGGCGGCGGGTGGGAACCGTGTCATTCCAAAGCGATCTGTGGTGAAGCCAAGCCCCAGGTTACAGGCGCCGGCACCCGGCCTGCTGACCCCAGGAGAGCCCAGTGCCCACCCTTTGGAAACTTTAATCCTCCCTGCCTGCACCCACCATGCCCTTCGCCACCCGAGTGTCTGGGGACAGCTCCCTCCTGCAGCCGGGAGGTCTGGAATAAACCTGCGCGTAGGAGGAGCGGAGTTTGGCTCCAGGTGTGGTGTGGTCTACGGCTCCCCCAAATCTCACTTTCTCAACAAGAGGGCTGCTGGGCCCGCGCCGGCACCGGGAGCCCCTCGGCATGACCACTAGGTTCTGCCTTTTACTGACTCACCCTCAGGCGACTGCCTGGCCCCGTCCGGTCAGACCCGGGTCCTGTCTGCTCCCATCCTCCTTGACCAGCCCTGCGAGCCTCGCCCAGGTCCCTCACACCCACCTGCCCTCATGGCCAGTGCGCCTGCGTGGCTGGGAACCCGCTCGGAGGCCGCTGGGGCCGCCTCAGTAGGTGGTGCGTCGAGGGCGCTGGGGCCGGCAGTGGGCGCCCTGGCGGGCCGAGTGCAGCCGGAGAGACGCCACGTCTCTGCTCCTCTGCAACGAAAAGCAAGCGAGGGCTCACCTCTGGGCTCGGTCACCAGGACAGGACACCGCCCGGGAGCTCGGCACCGCAGCAGGCATCTCCCCGCAGCCCCAGGGCCCTGCCTGGCACCCTTTCTGCTGTCCCCTCAGCCGGCACTCCCAGGCCAAGGCGCAGCCCTACATCTACTGACCCCTCGAGGGAGGTGGGCCAGAGGGGCCCTGGGCAAAGCTTGTCAGGTCTGGAAGGGCCAGCCCCACAGCCTGTGGCTCGGTAGCTGCCCGCCCTCTGGCTTCCCCTGTGGGGAGCTCAGCCTGCCTGCTGTCACGGGACTTCCCCGGCTTACCGATCAGGACTGGGTGCCCTGTGGACTTCCCTGCCCCATGGGCCGCCCGGGAGTCATGCCTGGGGCCACTAGGAAGGACCCGAGGTGCTCAGCACATCTGGAAGGGTCGCACGCCCCACCTGCCGTGGCCTTGGGAATGGGCGACAAGTGCAGCACCCCCCCGCCCTCACCCGTCCACCTGCTCCCAGGCTCAGAAATCACCCACTGAAAGGCGCTGACGAAATAAAGACCACATGCTGGGCGGGGAGGAAAGGTAGACGTCATATATTTATTATTTACACGGTGTGGTAAGTACACAAATACAGTGGTCACACAAATGCACAGTCGGACACCACCCCGCGGGCTGCAGACACTGGCTCGTGGGGGGGCAATTGATGCGACACTGTCGGCCGCAGGAGGGCTGAGTGAAGTGCGGCTCACCCTCCTGAGGGAAGCCCCTGACTCGCCCGCCAGCCACGTCCCCCAGCACCTGCAGGGCAGCCAGCTGTGCATCGGTGCACCCACCGGGGTGTCCCAGGACCAGCGCCCCTGTGCGGTGGGACGCGGGGCAGGAGGGACACGGGCCTGGACACCTTTAAGGGCTAACAGCTTCCTACAAGCTCTCCAGGTGCTGTGGGGTGATGGAGTGGGAGTACCTACGAATGTATGCATTGTGCCCTGCTCCGAGACGGGGCTCCTGGCTACTCTGCCACCGCCTGGGGCACACACACGGGAGCCCGGCCCTGCCTGCTTCCCGTCCTCTGGGCTCAAAGCAGGACATACCCTCCTCCTGGGCCTCAGGTCACTTCAGAGGGGGCTCCCTTGGGCCAGCCTCTTTCTGGGCAAACTTGCATCCCAGGTGGACAGATGTTGAGTACACAGATGTTAGCACACGTAAGGGCCACTCTGCAATGCTAATATTTACAGTCTGTCTAGAAAATGCCCCAAATCCAAAGGCATTGAGGCAACAACCATCAGCAAAGGAACCGCATACAACCCAGGAGGGCCCGGAGCAGCCTCCGCGTCCGAGTCCTGGGCACGGGGTCCTAGGCACCTGGGTCCGCTGCCGCGTCTGGGAGGTGGGTCAGCGCTCGCTCCGCCCTTCTAACGGCTCTGGCGACTGAGTCCAGGCGGCTCAGTGACGGTGGAAGGGAGTGATGGCCAAAACCAGGAGAGTCACAGGACACAGCACACAACACGCACAGACACGTCACACACGTGTACACGTGACAATTTCCGGGAGAACACCCTCTCCACGGTGGACTGCACCAAACAGAAGCAGGAAACATCACTGGCATCAGGGTGCCGCCCACCTTGGTCTACAGAAACTCCACGCCGGTGTCTGAGGCGGGACACTGAGGTCATCTTTTTGAAGACCGCAGAAACAGACGAGAAGAAACAATAAAAAGATTCTTTACACAGATTTAAGCCAGTAATTTTTAGCAAAATGATACAAAACTGTCAGAACCAAGTAGAAGATGGTGGTACAGCAGACTCATCAGGGAGCACGGGCGCCACCGCGGAGGGAGGACCGAAAGGCTCTGGATCGGAGTCTGATGTCTGCAAGTGTCTGGCACTCACGCGCCGTCTTCCCAGCCCGGGACACCGTCCCCGGGGCCTCAGTGGAGCCAGCGGTGGCAGCGCTTGGAGTCTGTCCGGTCAGTCTGTGTTTCCCCTGGGCGTTGCTGAGTGGGTGGCCTGGAGTGCCCGGAGTCCTAGCCCGGGGAGCGTCACTAGTAAAGCCATGTAACAGGAGATCAGCCATGCATTGCCTGCCCTTCACAGCACAAAGGAGCTCTCATCGGTGCACGACAGACTGAAGACCACTGGAAGCCACCCGACCGGGAATCTGTCGGAGCCAAAGCACAGGACAAGGTCAGCGTGCGGCCGGGGACGGGGCCGGTCGGTCAGGGAGGTGCCCTGGGAGGAAGGGGACAGACGCCGCCTCGCCCATTCTGGACGCCCGTGCCCCCAGCTGCTCCAGGAGCGCCCTCTGCGGCCAGGACGTGCTCAGCAGAACAGCGACAGAAGACGGAAGAGGAAGAGGCATGCAGGCGGCCGAGAAGCTGGTCAACGACAGGACAGAGTCCAAGCAGGAGAGACACTGGCTCCCAGCCACCCCCCAAGTAGCCTGGGGGCCAGGCCCCAGGGCACTGGGGTCCCCACCCTCCGGGGGTGGGCAGTACAAGCAGTTCCCATGGAGATGATCCCTAGAGCACCAGTGTTAAAGCCCCAGCAGGTCCACGTGGCCGAGCCGCCAGCCCCCATCCAGGGGAGAAGCCGCCCCGCGTGGCCAGATGGGAGCACGGCCTGGGCGCCCAGCCATGCGCGTCGGCAGGGAGCAGCGCTGGGCGACGGGTTAGTACACACGACAGCAGAGACAAGATACCGGGCAGAGACCAACTTTGAAAAGAAAAATAAAACGAGGAAGACAAATAAATGAGGAAGAAAGAGATGGCAAAGCCAGGACGGCGGAGACCACAGGAGTCTCGCGCAGCAAGAGCACATGAGGCCCCACCAAGCGCGGCCCCTCAGCTGAGCATGACTGACAGATCCAACAACCGACCCGGACCCAGCGCACTACAGAGCCCGGTCCGCTCCCCACACAGACTCCGACTCACAGCACAGGCCCTGGGGTCACCCATTCAGGAACCGCCTACCGCCTGCTGGCTCCCCACCCCGATGGCCGACCACAGTTCTGGAACCCGTGAGGGAAAGCACTGGGCAGAGGGACTCGCTCTGCAGCTCCTGGCGTGCATGACCAAGCCCGCTGCGTGCGCCCTGTGGGCAGGGGTCAGCCCCGCCCGCCCTGGTCCTGCTGTCGGCGAGACCGGCCATGAGCACACTCACCCAGTGCTGCCTTCCAACGGGAGACGTGCAG